TTTTAATTGATTTTTAATTTTTTATACTATTTAGATAAATTTAGAGTAAAAACTAGTTTATTTAGTAGTATATAATTTTTAAAAGCCTTTTATAAGCTTATAAATATAATGTTAATTAAAATAAACAAATTTCTTTTTTTGTTTTTAATACTTTACTTCTTTTTTTTTTGTTTATATATTTTATTGTGATTTCCTAGATCTTTGTTTTTTTTCATTTCTGTACTTTCTTTTATTTAGCTCTTTAATAAAATAAGTAGCTACTACAGTTAATAATTAGAAGGTTTATATTTTCAGCAAGTTAAAGATTTAATGTGAAGCTAATTGCTACTAAGTAAGATTACACCAGAGTTTTAATACCAAGTAAATTTTTATTAGTATAAGAATAGTATAGAAAGTTATATTTAATCTGTTAACAATAATTTTCTGGTATTTCTAATAAAATAATAAAGGCAAAACTGCCGAATTTAAAAAAAAATTAAATATAAGATTTGCTTAGTAATCTAAATTAAGTCAAATTTCTATATATTATAGAAAGATGCTTGTTTTATAATATATAAAAGTTGTGTTTAATGGATCATTTGTTATTGAGAGACTTGATATATAATATAGTCTATAGGTTTATGATTTACATTGATGTAATTTAAAAAAAAAGTAATTAGCAAATTTCTTAATAATTAGCTGCCCATTTTTATATATTATTCAATAAATATCTTTCCTTAATATGCAATAATTTGATGCAGTTTAGATAACCAGTCAAGAAAGAAATTTAAAATTTTAAATTTTATATTATTCTTTACATCAATTATCCCAATAACCAATAACATTAAATTATTGAATATTTATCTTACTTCTTTTAGGGTGTTCTCAAGCAGCATGCTCGATGTGTTTAGTTAGTGATTGTGATATTGCACAACCATCATAGTAATATTTAATTAGACATCGTTGAAGTTCAATAGGATGAATGGTAGTATGAATTACGCTACGTAACTTCCTCGATGTGATTAATTTATGATCGTGATGATGCTCAAGTATTATGATAAATTAAAATATTGATTGCAATTGGTGCTTAAGCAACATTTTTATCATTATTAGTTAGTGCTTAGAAGTAATTGTTTGGTCTTGGTGTTACTCCTAATTACTATTTTGGGAACATATTTGTTTTAATTTGGTAATTGATCTTCTTTGGAGTATTTGTAAAAGACAGAGATGATTTTTTTGATAAACATACTTTTTTTAAGTAACAATAATATGCATTCATTATATAGAAAATAGATTAGAAAAACTAACCTTTGACACTTTTGAACAATTTTAAAATTTTATTTGAATTAAAATATTAGTTATTTATATAAAATATACTTATTATTTTTATATTAACTTAATAAAATAGGCTTGGTGCTGCAAAAAGGAAGTAAATTAACAAATTTTTAAAAATTAATTTTTTTATATAAATTAATTTAAAATATTTTCAAGATTATTTTTCACTTAAGACACAAAAGTAGTTGTATTAATAAAATTATTCAATATAACTCTTTAAAATTTGTAATTTCTTATAATTTATTATAAAATTTGTAACATAAAAATTGATTTTCCGAAGATCTTTTTTTTGTCAATTTACCCCCTTTTTGCAGCACCAAGCCCAAATATTGAAATTTTTAAATTTGAAAATCAAAATTTCAAATGCATAGTATTCTAAAATAAAATAACCAATTAGAGATAATCGATTTAACTTGGTGTGTGATCTTGTTTGTATAAAAAACTTTTAACAATATCTACAGTGTAAAATAAATCAAAATCTGGGATTGAAATTTCGTGTAATGCAAACATCAAACGCATTTTTTTAAAAGCTCAAACAATCCGTCGAAGACTGGTTATCCTAGACCATTCCCCAAATATAAGTAGTAATGCCAAGAGCAGTACTTATATCACAAATATGTATATATGAAGTAAGCGTTATTTAGAGATAAGAATGGACGTTATTTTTAAGCCTCGCAGCTATTTTGAGAGGACACGATTTTCTAAATAACGGCATACCTGTTATTTCACGAAAATATGGTATATTGTATTGTGTATATAATCAGGCAGAAAATTGAAGTGACTACAGCGAGATTATGACAAAGCGGGGGTGACTATTGCGGAAGTTTACTGTAGTTGAATTTTTTATAAATGCACATAAATGCTTATTTTCGATTTAATAGCGTATACTTGGAAAGGTTACTTGAAAAAAAAGATAATTATTGTTAAAACAGATAATCCATTGCGGCGAATTTATGAAATATTTTCGAGTTAGGATGCATTATTATAGTAAATTTCTATGCCTTAATGAGAATGGAAAAGATGGGTTAGACGCGTTATCAACCTAGATTAGAGATTCAAAAAACTTTTTTGGAATTTAGCATAAAGTTAATAATATGTAAATTGGTAACTACGATATTAAATATAAAATTGGGGACCAAATACATGGATTTGGTGACCGAATTTAGTTTAATTTCATAAATTTTCCGGGATGCATTTATGTATTTGAACCTTGAGTAAAAAATATATAAAGATTTAAATTGCAATAGCGATAGATATTTTTAAATTTTACTATTGTAGTAAGATTCATGTTAAAGAATTAAATTTTAAGTAATGACTTCTTAATAAACCAATTTCGAATTCTATAAACTTGTAAAATTTTGATAATGATAAATTATTAAATTCGTATATTGCTTGTCTTTGCACTTGTTATGGAATTTCTTTAAATTACCACGTGATATTTTCATTTGATTTTTAAAATATAAATATATTTTTTAAATTTATTTTGAATTAAGTTTTATAAGTAAAATATAAAAATAAAGTTTTTTTTTTTTTTAAACCGAATTAACAGGTTTTAGCACAGATTCAACACGGATTCAACACGGATTTAGAAACGATTTAACAATTATGATTTGATAACGATAAAACAATGAATGATAATTTGATAACGATAATAAAATCATAAATGTAAACAAAACTATAAGACCATATAAAAGATTATTGAACACAATAATGGTCACAAGAGTCACAAGGTGGAATACTATGACTTAAAGCATTCTCAATTTGACAGATTTTTAACGCAAATAGTAAGGTAAGTGCGGCTAATTCAAATTGAAATTTATGAGAAAACAAAGACAAAAATCGTGGACCAGTTTAAACATGAAACATTTTTAACACTTAAAATCAAGAGATAATTAATTTGGACTAATAACATGTGCATTTCTTATGTTTCAAGAAGTTTTTTTTTTCACACATACCATAATATCGTTTTACTGTCACTTTATCAAGCATTATAGACATTAAATATTACGTATAAACATTATGATATAATAAAAGAAGTATTTACTGTATTTGTAGATATTATAAACCTTATAGAAGAATAACATATTAATCTATTTCAAAAATATTCAGTTATGACTTGCTAATGCTGGAATTTTCTAACGCACGTACGTAACGCACGTACGTACGTACGTAAGTGTTGGTACGTAAGTAAGTACGTACGGACGTATCGGTATCAAGTAACAGTATACGTAATATAAAGGATATATAGTAAGATAATAGTAAAAACGAATAAAAACCGGATATGATTTTTAAATAAACGTAGCACGAATTTCAAGGAAATTCGTAAAACTATACTTTTTTTAGAAATTTGACTATTTCTCATGAAGTAGAAAGTATCACAAGATGTCACGTTGATGAAATAATAGGCTCTGACGCTAAGCCCACGGCATGCCGATACGTAGTATGAAACTGTGACGACTCGAGTACGTACGGGAGATTATGGTAAAACCTAACTCAAATTCGGACAACTCCAATGCGCAATTTTTGCACAACAATGAGAGGTGTACGACAGCTTTGTATAAAAAAAAAAATAAAAAAAGTAGAGATTATTAAAAGACCGATCATTTCTATTCCCATTGTAGCCTGTGTCCTGTAAGGTACACATCTCCTTGATAATGAAATACTTTATGCAAAGAATAAACTCACTTATAGGGAGCCAAATGACTAATTATTTGATAAAGAAACCATCAAAATTCATGCATCACATTAATATTCGCAGATGATAAAAAGTTTATATATAGACCGCCCTTTGTATTTTTTTTTTTTTTTTTGTATTAATCGTCACGTTAAACAAACCATTCCTCCTTGGTACAGATAAAAACAAAAAGTAAATCAGAGACACGAATAATTACCACATTTATTCAATTTCCTAAAAATATTTAAAAAAATATTTAAATACCCTCACATTAAGAAAAGATAACCATCTTAACTGCCGCCGCACTCAAGCGACGAGACAGTAAAACTGTCAAAAAAAATATTCAAAAAATTATTAGAATTCTTCTTTTCATAACTCAATATATATATATATAAAAATACACATTATATATTATACATAAAAAAATTATATACACATATCAAATATGGCCAAACCACCACAGTTGCACTTTACCGTCGTAAGACATGGAGAAACGAGCTCAAACTTGAATCATATTATACAAGGACATATAGGTATGTATTTTCTAAAGGTATACTGGCATACTGGTATAATATATCGATATAAGTTTTATAAAGTATCAGTATTGATTTTTTTTTTTTTTTTTTACGTGTATATAGATACAAAATTAAATAAAACTGGAAAAGAACAGGTAGAGATAGTTGGGCGACGATTACGTAAATTGAAATTTGATCATATCTATACAAGTGATTTGTCACGAGCAAAAAAGGTAAGAGAAAAATTATTCTTGAAAAAAAAAAAATCTAATTGTTTTAATCGATTATTTTAATCATTTATTTTAATTATCTTTTAGACGGCAGAAGCCATTGCTAAACACCATCCTGACACACCATTCACTGTAGATATTCGACTTCGGGAACGGGTAAATATTTTCATCTAATAACTTATTTAATAACATTTATTAAATATTTTCAATATATGTTAATTAAATATATTCAATATATATTAATTTAACTATTATTACTATTAGGATATGGGAAGACTTAGTGGGAAATCCATTCAAGATGCCTTAGATGTAATTAAAGAGGATGGTGCATCGTGGGATGATTATGGTGAACCTGAAGAAGATTTTAAGGCCCAGGTGGTCGACTTCTTCGACGATATAATCGCAAAACATTTACCAAAAAATGATCCCGGTTTATCTCCTCCAAACAAACGTAGTTGTCATGTTCTCTTAGTCACACACGGTGGTGTTATAAACAAACTTGTTAAGGAGCATCTTATTATGGATTTAGGTTTCTTTGTTAATGATTATTTAAGTATGAAACATAAGGCTAAAAATACTAGTGTCACAAAATTCGTTGTTAGAAGAGCTGAAAGCTCAACTTCAACTACCGATGATGATGATGCCACTAGTGTTGTTAGTAATAATACTGCTGAAAATGAAAGTAATGATGGTGATTCCGAAAAAATTCCTCGCAGAGATATCGAACGAAAAATAAAACTAAAAGGTGAAGTTACTCTTTGGAGTTGTGTGTCACATTTGGCTGCGCAAGGAAAACGAACTCACGGTGATTCTCAGATTGATGATTATGTGCATTAGGAAAATCTCTGTCTTTTGTGAATCTTTCATGTATTAAAATGTATGATTTCATCAATGTTTAAGCAGAGTATACTTTCTTTTGTATATGTTTTTAAAATATGAAATGCATAAAAAAAAAAATGAAAAAAATTTGAAATTATTAAAAATGTTAATCCTTTTGGATTATTTGCTAATTATTACTATATTAATCTTGGTGTTCATTTAGCCTTTACATTTTTGTACTATTTTCATTTTCATTGTAAATGTAGATATCACTTTTTTTCGTATTTATGAACATCGTTAATCTTAATCAATCGTTCGTTCGTTACGTTTTATAGTTCATCAATTTACTTTATTAGTTTCATTTGCGATAATATTAATGAAAATAGCTTATACGTAATTTCTATTGACTATCTTGATTTTTTTTTTTTTTCTCTTTTTATCATACCTTTAATGGGATAGAGTAATAAAGTACTAAAATAGTATTAGAATTTTATTAGAATAAATCGGAATTTAAAACTTCTTTCGTTAGTCAAACTTTTTAGTCAAAAAATTTTTTTCAAAACTTTTTTCGTTAGTCACAATTAGTCACAAATAGTATAACGCATCTGATATATCTGATATCTGATATTTCTGATATTTCTGATACTGTAATACGTATTTATTATCATTGGTACTTTAATTTATATTTGGTCTTCTTATTCCTGCAAGTGATTCAAATGCATCTCGTATATAACGATAACAAAGGAAAAAAGGATGAATAACGGAACAAGCAAATAAATGGCGCATTAAAAAAAATATATATATATTGATATAAAAAAAATAAAGGTTTTTAATTTAAACTTGTATGTAAGCTAATGTAACATTTTTAATTTAAACTTAAATATAGTCTCATTCTAACATTGGCTTGTAACGAGTCAGATAAGGTCAATCGCTAGAAATAGAAAAAGCTTCTTTTTTTCTAGTGTTAGATACTGCATAAATGACATCCCTTTTAATAAATTAGGCGCAAAAAATTATACTTTGTACTTTTCTGCATCGGATAAGCATCGGATAAGTATGAATAAGCATTGAATAATCTTTGGTGTAAACGTTTTCACCGTTATTATTGGCAACTTTTTAAATATGAAACTTTATGATTTATACGAATGCAGTTATTTATTATGCGGAAATAAATTTCCCTTTTTTTTTTTTTCTATAAAAAGAAAAAAACACCCCAAAATTTTTAATTTTTCACACCCAACCCGCTAGTTAAAATAAAAGGGCAGTTCGCGGCGAACCACGTTCCACCCAGCAGACAAAAATTATCCAGTCGAGACACCCCGTAGGATGTTCGAAGCAGCAGCCTCCAGCTTTAGTGCAATGCCAGCAACCACTACCTATACAACCACCTTGTTGATCATGGTTATATCCTGGCAGGTAAGTATGAAGTTTTCAAGCTACATTTGTTCATTGTTTTATGTCTTTTTTGAAATTATGGGATTTGATAATTAGTATATCTCTGAGATTTGTCACATGATATGTCACACGCCATTGTATGTACACCACTCGGATTTTCACCATCAATAGCCCATCACTGATCAAATACTGGAGATGTACGTACCAGCAATTTTATTTGTATTTAGCAATTTAATTAGTCGTACATTTCGGCATCTTGCGCCAGAGAACACTTTGTTTATATGACAATAACTATAAATGATACTTTGCGATAGTACTAAAATTCTAGAATCCCGGTCGGCTGCGCCATAATTTGATAAAATTTACCATTGTCCTACTTATGTACAGTACGTACGTACGTTATAGGCATAGTTGTTTAATATTGGTCTAACTCTATATCGATATAACAAATTTTATCGTAAAAAAATTTTTTTAAATTTACTACGTATAATAAAAGATATAATTAAAATATATAAAATTTATCTTAAAACTTTTTGATCTAAATAACTACAAATTACATTTTAAAAATAAAACAAATTTAGATGCTATATAACTTATACTATATATATTTTTACAGTAACTTGGATATTTTTGTTTTTATTTAATTAAAAAATATTACAGTATATTCAAATATATATATCTGTATATTGTATATAATGTAGTTATTTTTTTTTTATAAAAAAAAATTATTTATTTTTAATAATTTGCTACGTATTGTATATGTACAGTATACGTACTGTATAGAGTAAATAATTTTTTATTTTGCAAGAAATTTTTTTTAAAAATTTTTATTTAAAACATTAAAAATAGTTATCAGCTTTAGAATTTTATTTATATTAGCTATTTAAACAGCATAATTTTATTTAAAACAAAAAATTTGTATATATAGCATATT